GTATTTTCAAACAATCTAGGTTCAAGTCCAGTAGCTTTCAGTGTTGTTTTGGGTTGGTACTTGTATCTTCGAAGATGGCAATCCTTTACTCTTTTCCCTGAAGTAAGCTCATTGAATAAGACATTAAGTCAGCTTTATCTCGTATCGAAGAATTTAATTTCTTTTTTACTGATCGCTTCTTTTAGGATGATTGCGTTGATGACTAAGTAGGCCATTTCTTTTAGAGAACAGCCAATGGCATTGACTGCATAGTAATGTTGGTGGAGGAGGAGGTCGATTTTCTCGAGCCTTTCTCTCTTGTACTTTGTTTTCTTCCGTTTCTCTTCTCGTGACTTCGAAGTTCTGGGTTCGTGATGTTGATGGAACACTACCAGTGGTATGGTCTCGGGCTTGGTTTCTTGCGATATGGCTCAAGTCCAGTAACTTTCAATGTTGTTTTGTATCTTTGAAGAAGACAACCCTGTGGACTTTTCCTTGAAGTGAGTTCACTGAATCAAACATGTAGTCAGTTTTATCTCGTATCTAAGAATTTAATTTCTTCTTTGCTGATTGTCTCTTTTATGATGATGGCGCTGATGACCAATTAAACCAATTCTTTCACAGGACAGCCAATAGCATTGACTGTATAATAATGTTGGTGGACGAAAAGACCGATTTTCTCGAGACTTTCTCACATGTCCTTTGACTTCATCCTTTTCTCTTCTGGTTACTTCGAAGTTTTTAGTTCCAATTGTGATGGAACATTACTAGTTGGTACAGCCTTGTGCATGTGTTTCAAACAATTTAGGCTCAGGTCCAGTGGCTTTCAGTGTTGTTTTGGGATGGTCCTTGTATCTTCGAAAACGTCAAGCCCTTGGTCTTTCCCTGAGGCTCACTCAATTAGACTTTACGTCGGTTTTATCTCATATCGAAGAATTTAATTTCTTCTTTACTGATTTCTTCTTTTGTGATGATTACGTTGATGACTAAGAGGCCTATTCATTCATAGAACAGTCAATGGCGTTGATTACATAATAATGTTGGTGGGGGCAAGGTTGATTTTGTCGGTTCTTTCTCTTTTGATGTTTTTTCCTTCTCTCTTCTGGTGGCTTCGATGTTTTGGTTTCCTGATGGTTTTGTAACACCGCCACTTGGTATGGTTTAGGGCTTGTTTTTCTAACAATTTAGTTCAAGTCCAGTACCTTTCAGTGTTGTTTTGTATCTTTGAAGAAGGCAACGCCATGGACTTTTCCCTGAAGTGATTTCACTGAATAAAACTTGTCGTCGGCTTTATCTCGTATTCAAAGATTTAATTTTTTCTTTGTTGATTGCTTTTTTATGGTGATGGCGTTGATGACCAAGTGGAACAGGCAATGGAATTGACTGTATAATAATGC